CATTTCTGCAGCCCTGTAAACTTACAGCATTTAATAGTTTCCCCAAGTTCTGATTGGTTCAGATATTTAATTAATTCTCAAGTCTTTCTCCTCTTTAATTTTTTGCGACTGATTTATTTTTGATAGAAAATACCAGGCGTAGATCTTTTTCGTTCACGTGGTTATCCAAAATTAATTTAAAAATTATCTTTTGCATCTTAACAACAAATTTTCCTTGTGTGGTTTTGCTATTATATCCTATTCCCAAAGCCTAATTCTAATCCTTACTCTCAATCTGTTATGAACTTTTTGTTTTATTTCTTTGATGTCTAATAATCACTGAACGGAAAAACGATCCTACACACGGTCAAGCATTATTGCTATTCATCATTCAAACACAAGATAATTTATTTGACTTTATTTATGTGTAAAAAAACGTTCACTACAAATGCCAAATTAAGGCAACTAAGATGATGATGAGGAAAATGAAAAACCTGATGATGATGAAAAAGAAAAACCTATTTTCGCAAATTTTGAAACATTTTTAGCCTGATAACCAGATTCGGCAGCCGTTCGAGATCCCCAACAACGTTGTTTACCGTGTGCCATCTCTTGTTGCAGAGTATATGCTTTTCCACCTCCAAATTTATAAGTCTGCTCGTCAAGTTGTGAAACTATCTTACTCAAATCATCAATTAATGCTTTATAGAATTCTGGTGATTCTTCATGATGAAGCTCAATTTCCTTTTTCATATTAAAAATGGTTGTTTTGGCTTGTCATAATTTCCTTGTTCAGCAAGCTTTATTGCTTCAGATATCGCCTTTGAAGTAAGGTATCGATATTTCTGCTGGACTACTTGTGAGTTTGGAGAGTTCTCTAATAAATTAGCTTCATGTGAGATGTGAAATATTTGCAAGGCTGCTGGTGATTCAAGATTATTTGCTTGTAGTCCCTTGTGGACGTCAAAATAACTGACATCTGCTTTGATTGTTTTAAGATCTGCTTTTTCCAAGTCGATATCTTTTTCTGTAGATTTTCCCTTATTTTTATCAGTAGCTTGGATTTTCACCGTAAACAAGATGTCTTTCTTTTCACCAGCATAGAGATCACAAATATTGACCTCAGCGGCGAGCTTATTGTCGTTAATGATGTTTGTGTAGTTGCTAAGCACTTCAGAGATTGTAACATTAAGCGTTGTTTCAGGAATTCGCAGATGAAGTTTTACGTCACGACACGCAACGCTTACAAGACCAC